AAATGTTGGGTCTCCTCTCAGGGTTAGCATGGAATCTGGTGACTCTGTTACTCCAGTTTCTTCTTCTACCAAACCCTCTCATCCTGCCCTTGGAGAATTCTATTCGGAATCCCGGGACTTAAACACAATCAAGGAGGATGAACCTGTTGCTGACCCCGTTCCAATTGTTCAAGAACCACCCCAACAAATAGAATCTGAATCACCTGTTCTAGGTCCAACCGGACTAAGTAGTCTGATTCGGGCTCACCTAAGGCAGGATAGTGACAAGTCCACAATATACCCCCCGTCATCACCAATCTCCATGGATCGGCCGTCAGAAAATCCTCACCCAAATAACCCCCAGGTCCATGGAACGAGATCCTCAGACCTTGCGGTTAGCATTCATAGCAACCCATGGGAATATGATGACTGGGCTAGGCCGACTTATCACCCCGCTGAGCCTGCCGAACGCTTCAGTCAGCCGGAATCAGATTTTTCAAGCATGTCTTTGCGTGCAAAGCAAATGCTCGGCCAAGCAACCGCTCTTAGCAATCAGGGCAACGAGAAAGAAAAAAACATTAACACTGAAAATCAAGAAGAGCGAGCCCCTGCTACTCCTGTTCCTACTGCTCCTAAACCATCCGCTAACGCTTCCCAGCCCTCTTGGGAAGAAGATATCAAGTTCGGTCATCGTCGCGGCGGGAGCACGGAAACCCAGATGGAAAGGGAAGAGTTCGCTAATGAGTTAGCTGAAAGGCGCCGGAAAGTTCAGGAAAAGTTGAAGAATTTTGCGGAGAATGAAAGCAGATCTACCAGCCCGGCATCTAGTTATCGTTTCCCTGACAATGGAAACAGTACTCAAACCCCCAGCAAGACTGGCAATGCCTTTGCAATTCTCAAGGCCAAAACATCCAGGAACCAGAACAACCAATCAAAACAGGATCACCCCTTGGCTAAGTCGTCGAAACTCCTAGGGCTAGACAAGCCACAATTTAACTCTTCGGCTCCGAATCTACAACAGAGCAATGACATGTGGCGAGAAGAAGACGAAAGAATGAGGCGTTTGGTCAGAAAATCTAGAGCTGAATCTCCAATGGGAGGGAATCGGCAAATTGGCTGGGGACGCCAACCGCAGCCCCCGCAATCAACCACACCCCAATCGCGCCAGAGCGAGGAAGATACAAGGAATTCTACTCGGGATAGTGCGTCATCAACTTGGAGGAGTGGACCCAGGGATAGATCTGACTCCGATACCTCTGGCCGTTCAAAGAGTAGACCTAGATACCGTGAAGATCTTGGGGCTGTCAGGGAAAGCGCTGAGCAGCCACGGATGGGTAGGCCATCTATCGAAGACAAGGCATCTAGGAGCTCATCAAGCCGGCCTTCTATGGAGTCGACCGACCGTAGAACAAGGGATCGCTCGGCATCTACAGGTAGATACAGGAGTAACTCTCGATCAGTGCCTCCAAACTACATTGACCTCCAATCTCTCCCTGGGCCAAGTCCTACACTTCAGCATCCTGCTATAGCACACTCCTCGAGACCTTCTCCTTCCCCGAACCCCCACCCTTACTCAGCTAATGCTACTCCTCCTATCCTTGAAAACTCATCCACATCATCTACTCCAGCTGCGGGAGGATATGGGGGACCCCCCATGCAATACCCCCTTCCACAGCGAAACCCTCCTGTTTCTGGCTCGGTTGCCACACAACAGAGTCTAGGTTCCCATAAGAGAGTGGTGGACAAGTCCCAAATATCCGAGCCTACTTTCGTTTCAACTACATCAAATGTTCCCACCATTGGATTGCCTGCGGGAGCTAGCCTCGCCAATGGAGCTCCTACACCTCCAATTCCTCCGATGAACCCCAGGAGAAGGCGACAGACAACCACACACAACATCCTTGGTGCATTCAAGGGATCCTCGCCTTCTGATAGACCTGATCAATACCCTCACCACGGTCCTAAGCATCACAACCAGAATCACCCTAATTCATCTCGGAGGTCAGAGGAACACAGTACGTTTTCAGACGATGAGAAACGTCCTCGGGCTCGTCAGAGACTCAGAAAGATCTCAAGCGAAGGAGGAAACCTTAACGCTAAGGCTAGGCATCATTTAATGAATGGGAACCAGCCAGCCTTACCACCTCCCCCAAGACATAACCGAGTCGAGGGTCTACTGTGAAGATTTTACCTTTCAACTTTCCCTCGCTATGATAACTCTATTTTGTAACATTCAGCCGTCATTTCCCCAGCCTCTTTCAATTCTTTCAATGGTCTCCAGGCTAACTCCATGATACCTTCGGGCAGATCGACCTTGGCTATTCTTGAAAAATCTATGTACAAAATTTCGTTCTTCTTCTAGTGTACATTGTTTTACTTATATCTTTTACCTTTTTATTCATTTGACGTACGACGCGTCAGTTCTTCCGTTTTCCCCCTTTTCCCTTTCTTAATTTATATTTCAGGCTTTAAGATTCTTGTTATCCGAAACTGATTGGCTGTCTAGCCGTTATGTCAAATACCCCATTTTATTCCCCCCCCCTGACTGACGAGATCCCTTTCAAATCTAGAATGGTCCAAATAGCTTCCTTGCTTGCTTAGTCTGATATCGTAGTCTCTATTTGTTCCTAGACTGGAGAGTTACAACGAAATCATACCAAAGATGAACTAAATATGGTAACCATAATAGGAGTATCTTATTGGAACCAAGAACCCAGAAGGAAATTGGTAATGGACAGAACTCTAAATGTAAATTCTTTAAGTATCGAGAGTCAAGAAACATCATAGTAGTACCGCTCCCAGCCTATATGAAGCACGAAGAGCTACTCCTCGTCATACTTCGTGATCAGTTGGAGACATTAAAAAAGAAAGTGAGAAGTATTGTTGTAATAGATCAAGTCAAAAGCTCTTCGATCGTCTTGAACGGGAAGAAGCAAGTAGAGCAGCACGGATCTCTGAACCAGTCCAGCCACGACCTATGATAGCACCCAGGGGCTGCCCTGCTTTGAATAAAGCTTGTTCCTCCCATCCAAGTACCTCGTGTTCGGAATCAAGTTGGTTGGGTAATCGCCCTTTTTCGGCAAGTTTTCTTAGCATCTGCATTCGGTGTGCTTCACGTTCCTGAATAACTTCGGCGACTAGTTCTTCAGTAAGTTTCCCCTGAAAGCGCATGTACTTGAATACTTTGCGTAATTGGTTAAAGGGGAGAGAGACAAATAGGAGGGACATGTTGGTTGGATCGGCAGCGGGATGGAGAGATGATGTAGATGAGCACTTGGGTCTCTCGAATTTGAAACCTATCGGGATACGGTCCACGACGAAACGGAGAGAAATGTTCAGGACTTTTCTAGCTAACGCTGTAAGAGTGGTGGTATCTTGAGAGGCTTCGCATGAGGCTGTTGAGCCGTCGCTGCCTTTTGAGTCAATCGAATCATTTCCAAGTGAGTTGTCCTGGGTATCCTGGTCGATGACAGTGAGCTCGAAGGATATTGGACATGTTCCAAAGGACAAAGCTGTGTCCAGAGTCTCCCAAGATAATACACCAGAAAGCAAGCTTAAAGCATGCTCCACGATCTGGCTTTCCATAAAAAATACACCGGCTGTTGCAAAACATAGGACGAAGTTCATCCGCGAAATACTTGTAGCCGAAGCTACAACATCTTTGTTAAGCTGATGCTGGACCGGCTGGCTGACGCAAAGGGGTATGTGAAAGAATAACTGATCTTGGCTGATCAGGGGCTGTTCATAGAAGTGAAGCAGAGCCGAGACAAACGCAGACGGGTAGGTGAAAGCTCTTCCAGCCAAGATGTAGATTTGGGCAGACTGTCTATGCTCAAGCTGGTGAAAAAGAGAAGATAAACGCTGGTTTTTCGATGCAATGATTCTATGAACAGAGTGAGAGATCGTGGCGAAAGCACCAGAGCAAGAATAAAAGGTGAGGCTGATGTCGGAACTCATATCTGGTGCATTCGATTGGTGAGAGAGAGTCGACACTTCCTGCATTTTATTCGAACTGTATGGATGTGCGTGATCGGTGGAGATGACTCGGTGATAGCTGCGCGGGGTCGACAAGTAGGGGGAGAAAGGAGGAAGAAGATGGCAGCTACGTAATGGTGTATTTGTAGGATCCTCGCTTGGGCTGTAGCTGTTATGAGGAGAGAGATGCTCCAAGCGAGAAATTCTCTGGCTGAATGGCGTGCCCTTCTGTGTGAGTGAATGCTGGCCAGAGGTAGGAAACCATGGAACATGGTGGTCGACATGGTAGGGCCGCGAGATATCGAGAGAATGACGGTGAAGGCCACCTCCGCCACCACCAGGAAAGGAAGAATAGGGAACCGGCAGCGGCGCCCGGTTCTCCTTGTTTGGCCGCAGATTCTCCCTATCCATGGCTGGCTGGCGTGGTGCCTCAGCGGGCTTCTCTGGGCCGCCAAAAACTACCCCGGGCCGTTCAAAGGCCACACGAAGAGACTCAACCTCGTTGGTCTCTGAGGCCCCCAACCCCTCTACGGCAGGTTTCACGCCCTCCATCTCCAGGGCCACCTCGACCCGACGCGCCTTCTCCTGCTTATTCCTCCTCCACAGGCTCCTGGAGATGGAGTGACGCTTCCCCTTTGCCCCCATCTTTGGCCTAACAGCAGGTTGGACTGCTGTTTCTAGAGGACTTTATCCTCTGACCTATAATAGTCAGATATTATTCTGCAAACCAGCCACATGGTTAGAAAATACCCAAGACGCGATTTTAAACATGATTTGGGGGTAAGTTGGACTCGCCCTGCTCAAGGGAGAGGAAGTATGGGAAACATAGGGGGTATATATAGTCGGCTGACGCGAGTCATACATGTCCTTTAACCCATAATGGGGGCATACTAGAGCCCACCCACTCAAGAGATTCGTATGTAACTGGAATAGTAACGATAAAGGCGATAACTGCTGCTCGTTAAGGCGTATGGAATGGCCATGGCTCGAGGGAGAAGAATCAGGAGAACCGCGAGGCCCTTCGTCTTTCTCTCCCTCCCTCCGCCCACCCATCCTCGGCCGAGCAAAGTTGCCTTTGACTGCCCTCCCCTCCAGACTCTGAACAAAGATGCAGAAAAGGAAGAAGAAGAAGAAAAAAGAAGATGACTTACTCTCTTTATAGCTGTGAATGAGTCTTCAAACTGCCCCTACACTGGTGTGATAGTCGGACTTTCTGATAATCCGAAAGCCCAACCTTGCTGTGCCCACGTGATAGAAGGTTTTTATCACGTGAAAATTTTCAACAGAAGAAAAGTTGAAAGTGAAGACACTAGTCCAAGATAGGAAGTGATATGCTGACTCAGCGTGAGTAAAAGTTAAGCAAGTGAAGCAAGTGGGACAAAGGCTTTTTGATAGAAAAGGGGAAGATAGAAACATAGAAGGAAGAAGTTAACAGGGAAGAGAAAGGCCTAGGATGGCTTCATGATCCTTTGAGTAGGGGGGTTTCGACTATAGAAGCATGGCTATAAAAGACTGACCTCTATATTTCACAGAAGGAGAAATAACAGGATGAAGAGGATTAGCGGAGAGTCACTCATAGGGTACAAGTGAATAAAGAGAGTCATGGTAAAATATAGAACCAAAACAGACTATACATCTAGATAACGTATCTAAAGAGATTATCCCGCTTGAGATCACAAGGTACTATTTATAATAGTAGCCTATATCAAGGATAGATACAGGGTAGAGAAGTGGACAATAGGTATTATTATTGTCATTCTAACTGCTTGTAAGATATATAGCCCCAAGATGGTAGTTATATCTTGAAAGGCCATAAATTGGTCTGTTCTGAGGTGGCATTATAGCAGGCAATGTCCATAGTATAGAGAAGCATAGACTAACATGGTTACACTCAAGAATATCCATTGACCAGAACCCTCAAGCAGCTTTTCCGAGTATTCTCAAAAGAAAATCTGACGACTTCATAAGAGTCGACGTCTTTAAAACACTGCGCGGTCGTAGGGGGTATCGTCAGCCATCCGTTGGGGTAACCCATTGGGTGCCCACCATTGGTTCGCTGTCCCACGCTGCTGGCGGCTGCTCCTGATTGGGGTTTCGTGGCATACACTAATGTAATCCGTAACCTCGTAACGTTGGCCACATCTTCAGTGGTTCAAATTCTCATCTTTCGCTGTTTCTCGTCGTTGCTTTTTGGGTGAAAGAACAGAAATCGGTGAAGCAGTCACGTGGTCTTATCTGCCAGCGAAGTCTTAACTTTATCGTCTTGGCACGATCTCTCATAAAATTTGGGCGAAAAAAGAAGCGAGGTTGACTCATTGATATAAAGATCGAACTCGCCGGTTTATTTCTTTCTTGATTTCCTTCCTCAAGATTTACTGAGGTGGATAGATTGGATACCTCCAGCAGTTACTTAATTCCTTCTTTATTTTCCTCATTGCGTACCTCAGAATCGTCGAAGCACCATGCCGTTCGCTAAGCCCACAGTTGAGGACAACGATGATAGCAGAGGTATGTTCCCTGTTGCCCCTGCGTAAAATCAGTATCGCTTGTCAAGCAGGGGCTGATATAAAGCTTCAGTGTTGGGATACGATCCGTTGCTCTCGCCTCAATTCCTTCAGACGGAAGTGCCAGTGGTAAGTCCAGCCCCACAATGTACGTCGCTAGTAACAAGCAGAATTCTAACACCCGCCATTTCTGTGTCTATTAGTCTGCCTCTGCGGTAGAAACTGTCCGATCAAGCCGTAAGGAGGTTATTGAGGTCATTGAACAGCGTGATGACCGTCTTCTTGTCGTCTGTGGCCCATGCTCAATTCACGACCCCACTACAGCGCTGGAGTACGCTGAGCGCCTAAAAGCGCTGTCCAATAAACTAAAGGGAGATCTCTGTATCATCATGCGAGCATACTTGGAGAAGCCTCGAACAACTGTTGGGTGGAAGGGACTGATCAATGATCCCGACATCGATGAATCCTACAACATTAATAAGGGACTTCGAATCTCCCGAAAACTGTATGCTGATCTTAACGGTATGGGTATGCCAATTGCAAGCGAGATGTTGGATACAATCTCCCCCCAGTACCTTGCCGATTTGATATCTCTGGGTGCCATTGGTGCCCGTACCACTGAATCCCAACTGCATCGTGAGCTAGCTTCGGGTCTCAGTTTCCCAATTGGGTACAAGAACGGCACAGACGGAAGTATTGGGGTTGCAATTGATGCTATTGGTGCTGCAGAGAAGCCTCATCGCTTCCTAGGAGTCACCAAGCAAGGCCTAGCTGCTATCACCAAGACAACAGGCAACGAGCATGGGTTCGTCATCCTTCGCGGTGGCACAAAGGGCACCAATTATGACGCAGAGAGTATTGCTGCTGCGCGTGAACAGCTAGCGAAGAAGAAACAGCGTGAGATCATCATGGTTGATTGCTCGCACGGTAACTCCAAGAAGGACCATCGAAATCAGCCTCTGGTAGCTCAGTCCGTCGGGGACCAGTTGCGTAAGGGTGAGGAGGGTATCATCGGGGTTATGATTGAGTCCAATATCGCTGAAGGCAACCAGAAGGTGCCTCCAGAGGGCCCGTCAGGCCTCAAGAAGGGCGTCAGTATCACCGATGCCTGTATCAACTGGGAAACAACGGTTGAAGTCCTCGAACAGCTCGCCGAAGCTGTGCGTACAAGAAGGGAGGTTCGTTCAAAGAAGGAATAAGTATGGAGGAACGGGTGGGTATCTCGGGGAATTAGGGAGCAATTGATCATTCGTAGGGAAAGGGTAATTATTAAACATAAAGTCGTTCTATGGCTTTGAAAAATTATTTCTTGAATTCGGGGGAACTTCTGGTTATACCTCTAGCACGCAGGCAGCGATAGATTTGGTCCTGAAAAGATAATAGAAAAACAACAATAAGTGATATTCTTTCGTTGGTACATATTTTTCATGGCATATCCGGCTGGCCTCCTTGGTGGTTAGGAACCTTAGCCGGTCGCAATCTCGTCATTGGCGTGGAGAACGACGCCGGATTGAAGCATTATTCCGTCTGAACATTGAGGGCATTCAATCTTCATAAACGGCTACGAGGCTTCTTCTTCAACCTCCGCACTCTCTGCTCGAGATGTCAACACAAAAACCTAAGTCAAGCGAGAGTGCGACCCCTGGCCTTTTATACACGGCTGAATTGCCGCGAAACATCCGTACCCACCTGCGTGTGGTCCAATAGCGTGCTGGCACCGGATATTTTGTCAGGTATACACGGGCCAAGAAGCCGCCCACCCTCTCATCTCATCAATAATAAATAGACCAGGCATGGCCGGTATCAGAAGAGGCCATAGGGACTGAAAGTGTACTCTGTAACTAACTATTTATGAGCGCTATCGAAAATACCAATATTTAACACCAAAGAAGTTGAGACGCTCGTTGACTCCAGTTTACATGCATTCCCAAGATATCAGTCATTCCTTGCAAAGGTCCTGTAACAGATCCAACATACGAAGTTGGAGTGCCTTTGCTTCCTCAGCGGTAATGCACCTCTCAGTGCTGTTATCTATATTTTCGGGCTTTGAGCCGGAGTCTGGTGATGCAGGCCGAATAAGCTCTTCTTTTATCGCAAAGAAAGGGATTCCCATTGCCTTGAGCTCCAAATGAAGAGCTTTGGACATTTCAACAGATGCCTTGTACACTTTATCGTCATAACGTTTGATCTCGAGTTCATGTTCTTCTGGTGCCTGCTATGTTATTAGTTATAGATATCAATAGAATTACAACCGTACGGCTCTTACAGATTCATGTGGTTTATCCGTGACCTTGCCGCCGACGGCTCGCCTAGCCCAGTTACGTTAGTTTCGTGTCTCTATAAGCAAACAGACGAAGGACCAGGAATTCATACAGGACTTCATCAAGTTTCTTCTGGTTTCCGGCCCGAGCTTTTTGTTTCGCTAGGAGTCTCTGTCTCCCTTGCCACCAAGTTTTCTCATGTTCATGTTGTGAGGCGATCAGCCGTCTAATCCTATACTGCACGGTTTCATTCTGAGCCACGGTTTTCATCACGTATTTAAGAGCGGTAGGCCATGCTGTGATTACAGACGGACTAGCAGAACTTTTATTCGAAGGGACAGACCCAGTCTCCTGTCTACTTGATGAAGAAATTAAGCTCGTATGAGTGGGTGTATGTATCCTATGTGCACTTTGGATGTGAGGATGATCTCTTGGCTGCAAATTACTGGCCGTCTGGGGTTGGCCCGGTTGTGGAGTGCTGAATGAAGAGAGAGTTTTCAAGACGGTGGCCAGATCCGGCGTCCCATTATCTGGAATATCCATAGTCAACAGCTACCAAAGACCAGGCGCAGTGTTTCGGGGCGCTATCAATCTGATATCAAGTATGGTTCATCTTCGTTCCTCATTGATTGTGTTCCAGTAAATGTACCTTATGGGTATCAAAGCATAAAGCCACCACACAACACAGTCTTTCACCTTTATCAATAGAATTCGGGCAAGGTACTCTCGACTGTTTAGTGACCTGTATTGTTTAATGAGCAAAGGGTGATAGTTTTGATATTGAGAACGTTTGTTAGTTCAATGAATGATTGCCGTTTCATTCTTCAAAAGTTATTATATAATCAATGCCAAGCCCGAGCTTAATCTTCAGCTAGTTATCTGATCTTGAAGACGTTTTTTGTTTATTGGATTCCTTTAATTGACTAACCGCAGAACATTCACTGGGCAGGAAAGAGGTGATTTGGCTTAGAGTGACAAGCTTATATCTAGCTGATGTTAGCTTCATCTGGGATGTAGGAGACCTCGTTGCATTTACCACGGGCTTCCGTGTTCTTTCCCAAGGTTGAAACGGGAGAGCTGCTTGAAGTCGATGTGGTCTAACCCTCACCGTATAGTCGATGAGCTCCAGACCTTACCCGGGCTACAGAGAAGAATTTGTTGATGTACTTTGAGACTTTCCGGTCCGGGAGGCGCTGATACTCATGCAGAGTCTTGCTATAAAACGCCCTAGGGAGGAAGAAAAGGGAGACGAAGCCTCAGAGGACGAGCTGGCGTTAAGGAGAAAAGTATGTGCCAACCAGGTCTCCTTTGGTCTTTCAGGATGCTAACTTGCAATGCAGAGGGTTAAACCCTTATGCCTCCGACCTTTATCCCAACCAACTCAACCCCAGGGCTTCGCAGCCTTACCTCTTACTCCCACGACAACAGAAGACCAATGGAATGATAGTGACACAGCTGAGATTTTGGATCGCCAGACGATACATACCCATTCTCTTCTCTCCTCAGGTAGCCATATACATATTGAGACTGATACCGACATGAACATGATCGACTGCGCATCTACGGAATCCTCCACTCTGCCTGAATGGCCTACCACTTGCCATGGCCATGGAGACAGGAGGTGTAATCTTAGCACTTGCCTCAATTCTACAGACACAAGTTTAGTGGCTTCCCAAGCTTGCAATAAGTCTTCGTCTGTCAACGCACCCGCGGTCTCCTCATCCATTAATAACATACACCCTCCGGCATCTGCTATCACGCATCGCGAAGCCTCCCGCCCTCCCAGTCCCATAAGTGAATTTCAAGCTGAGACGAAGAAATACACCGGCAACCCTATGTTACATCCCTTCCAACATTGCTCCCATCTTGATGATGTGAGGATACCCTCAAATATATCTCTGCTCAATTCTGTATCTTCGAAATTCACCAACAAATTCGGCGGACTACAAGAAGATACTTCAACCTTACTCCCTCCTACAAACCCAGAAGCTGGCGCTTTTCAGAAATGCTCCGATCTCGCAGCCAACCATACTGCGACGTCAATGGCAAGGCCGCCTAAGAAAGCTACTATAGCTATGGGGTTCCGAGCTGACTGCGACAAATGCCAGCGCAGAGAACCTGGCCACTATAGTCACATAGTCTATTCCTAGTGTACATCTGACAACCTGACTCAACATACATCCCTTCGGCTCTTTATTACACCCAGAGTTCTGGATGAAGAGACCGCCCAAAGCGTCTAGACGCAACCTACTGGTTTCTTTGTATTCTTCAGCCTATTGACTTTTGCTTTTGCCTTTCCTGCTACAAAGATACCCCTATCCCTCCTATTCTGCATATTAACCAACAATCTTTCGATGTGTTTGGTGTTGGTTTCTTTACAACAAAGAGGGCTGGCTCCTTATTTGATTTTCCAATATTAGTGTAACTTGGGGTCGTAGACTGTACGTTAGGGATAGCTCTTGTACTTAGAATTGATGAAATCAATTCCGTTCTTGATACTAGCTCTACTCTAACAAATTCGACAAAAATAAACTTTCTCCAGATATGGTCACGTGTTTAGTCTTGGCATAAAAGTCCTTTTCAGTTCAAGATTGAGTTATTTCACAGATGAAATACAAGCAGTTATCGCGAGACATAGAGCTGTTATAATGCCGTCATCAAGGCCTCTACTGCGGTCATTAGAGGTCCTACCCTCGCAACTAAACAGTTCTCGCTATGTCTGCACGAATTGTCGCTGGCAATCGTTCCCACGAGCCCGAAATCTGATCTCCACGCCCTCTCGTCGATACAACTCGTCCGGCAACCTTCCATTTACCGAAAAAGTACGACGAAAGCTATGGGGCACAGATAATCCTCCAGGTTTAAAGGACCCTTATGGAGGAGAAAGCATACTTGAGAGAAGAGCTCGTGAGCTCCGGGAAGCTAGGGAAGCCAGGGCAGACGAATCGCAAGAAGTCCCAGCAGAATTTATCGAGGCCATGCCAGAGGAAACGAATGCCGAAGCCATGGCAGATTACACTCCCGCAATTAACTGGGATGGACTAGAGCATGTCGGATCATTGGGTGAATGGTGGGAGGAACCACCAACTGAGATGGATAGATTTGATGCGTGAGTCGTGAATATTTGACTTTTTTGGCAATCCACACAGGCTAAAGGGACTTTTGCGTACAGATTCATGCGAAGGGAAAAGGTTACGAACAATAATGATATACTGGCTATCTTACATCAGGCCCTGGTTGAATTGAGTGTCTTGAAGGAGCTTAACAAGCCTTTGGGAGCTTCTTGCGACATCCTCGAACATCAGCCCCAGATTTTGTCTTTGATCAATAAAGTTGAGATACTCCCCTCGAAAGGAGAATGCGGAGCTGCATTGGCATTCCCAAGTGAAGATGCGAAAGCCAAGTTGTATGAATTCTTCCGTGAATTCGACTCCATTACGGCTGAGGAACCAGCTGCTTCTGAAGAGCTTCCTTCTACGGAACCCGAGATGGATGCCCACTCCGAAGTAGTATCTGAAACCTCATCATTCGAACTTAGCCCTCCAGCTAGCACGGAGTTCCTGAATATTTCTCTCATGTCCCCAGACATGAAGTTTGCGGTAGGTTTCCAAAGAATGACCCTCCTATTGCTTTTACTAACATAATCATGTTTCAGTACCTGAAAAGAGTTAGCCAGTTGACCGGCCACTTCATTCCGGACCAGGAGCTTGCATCCATATCCAACGT